CCAGGAGAGGTTTAGTCTTTGGTTAAAAGTGGCCAGAAGACCCTGGAGAGGAAGAGACACAGACTGGAGAAGGAGAGGAAAATTAAGGACCTGAAAGAGGAGAGTCTCTCCACGAGGCTCAGTGAAACCGAGAAGGGGCTCCCGAGTTCAGAGCTCTGCAGAACAGACAGCTCGAGGACCTGGACCAGCAAAACCAGAGCTGGGACCAGAACAAGATCCTGACACAGCAAGTCCAACAGCTGGAAGAACAAAATCAATTCCTTACAGAGAAAGTTCAGAGCCAGCAAGAAAATTTCTCCTTAAACCCTCCTTATCCCCTTTCTCTCTTTACCCCCTCCTTACCCCCCTCTTACCCCCCACCCCGCTGTCTGTCATCAGATATTGCTCAGGCTCAGACTGTCGTCCAGGGTCTCCTTCTCCAACGACAACATCAGGAGGCGGCGGTGTTGTATCCAATTTGGCAGAGGAGACTGTTGGTGGGCTTTTCAACCACTTACGGATATCCATGATGAACTAGTAAGCCGGTGAAAACTCATCCAGCTTCACTTTCAAAAATGCGTGGTGACTGTTATACGGCTATATACGTCACATACGTAGCCTAACTTTCTTTTCAGTAAGGCCGTGATAGGCTGTTGCAGTGTAGATTCCCATCAATCAAACAAAATCACACCATTGTTAATTTATATTTTTAATGTTTTAATGATAAAGAATGCAACATTAGTATTTTCCAACACAAAATGAACTACTATGATAATATAAAATAAAATTAAAGTAATTTTTTTTAAGAGATCTGTGCCTCAAGTCGAGGGGCACAAGCATTTTTGGGGGCGGGCCAGGCCCCGTATGGCCCGCCCATAGTGGCGGGTATGTGTTCATGTTTTAACAAGTTTACATGTCATCATATGTGAATATGTGCCCAAATCTCATTTAGACAAAGAGTCAGATGGACCAGAAACATTTCTATAACTTGCACAGAAAGAAAATTAAATACAAGTTGTTTGCTTCAAGATTATTATTATTATTATTGTTTTGAATTGTTCATATTTTCTACTGATGATTCAACATTCACATTTGTCAAACTCAACTAATATTGTCTGTGCTGAGAAGACTTCACATCCTGAACCGCCTCAAACAACCTCAACCACAGTCAAAATAAATCAATAAAACTTTCGGTTGGATTGATAGAGACCTGATCTTTAATGCAGATTACTGGGAATGGTGGTGGACTTTCTTTAATCTTAACCAGGGGCGATTCTAGGGTCAGAGCTTTAGGGGTGCTGAGCACCCAATGAGCCACACTACCACCACTGACCCTTTTTTCACACAAAAACAAAAAATATGTCTATTGAAAAATAACTTTATCATTTTAACATTGGTTCAACTAACTCCAAAATCCAGATTGTTTTTTTTCTTTTTTTGGAGACCTTTCCAGAACACCAGCTTTTTGTGACAGTTCACACGCAGGAGCCCACCTGCTAACAAACACAAAACCTTCCTTCACTCAGGCTGCTTTCCCTGACCGTTACTCCATGTGCCTCTTTTGTATCAACAGTTCATTAGATTAGATTAGTTCAACTTTTATTGTCATGAACAGTAATAGGTACTTGGACAAAAATGCAAGTCATCTTCTGTAAATTATTTACAAATGCCTCATCTCTAACCTACTTGGTTGCACACCTGTCTGAACTTCAAAAACAATATAGTCATTCCAATAATTAATAATAAACAACTTCACATCAATAGCAAAACAAAAAGAAAAAAGAGGTAAAACCAAAAAGTCCAAAAAAAATCCAGATTATTTACCCAGTCTTGAAAAATACTTAGAAAGTAAAGATATAAAAAAGAAAGAGAGGAAATCTTTGAAAGTACTTCCCCCCTGATCCCCATTTGGCTTCTCACGATGCAGGTACATTCACTCTACTTTGGGAGAGTTCTCTATTCCCGCATTTTGAGGCTGGCAAACCTGTCAATGAACCTTTGGTAGTTCAATTCTTCAAGCAACTCCTTCTCAATAGACATCACAGCTACGGTGCTGAGTCTGCTTTGGCCTGTGCTCTGAGCCATGTATGGAGCCGACGCAGGCACTAAAAGACGTCACATGTACAGCTGCTAACTGGTATTGTCAATGGCAAACCTGCAGAACGCTTTCATGAAGGGATCATTTCAGAATCTAGGAGTTTACCAACTCTAGCAATGTCCTGAACTACAGTTCTATCAACCTCTTGCCTTCAGAAAGTTTTTGCAACTTTCACTTCCTCTCAATAAGTCAATATGTAATCGCGAAACCATTGCTGTCAGATGAAGTCTCAGACAAAGAAGTGGCCTGAGGTTGGACTGCATGCCTGACATTCCTTGACACTTCCTCATTCACACCAGAAAACGCCTCTCAATTCACAGATCATTCGCGCCAGACAAGGAAACAATAAGTTCCTCTTGAGATCTTCAGACTCTGAAGAGCACAGGTTTCACTGCCTGCCTGACAAGTTTGACTCAACAACGATTTCATCCATTCTCTTTGTTTCCGCCTCTGTCCTGAGGATGATTCTATAGATCTGCTATCTGTTTGCCTCACACATAGCTTTGGTTCTGGAAGTACAGATCTGCAAGCAGTGTATTCACTGCGTTCTGCTCATGGTGTCAGCACTGCATTTTATTCACTGCTTGTGCATGCAAGTGGTCCTCCTTCTGTAGGTATCTGTGTAAACCTGCTGTTACAGACAGGAGAGTGTGGAAAACCATCAGCAAATACACTGAGGAGAATTTACTAGTTCAATCCAACTGCTGTATGTGTCTTGATTGTGGAGAGACACTCAAGTGATAGCAGGGAAATTATCAATCACTGCAGTCACTGAATGAAGCTGGCCTGCCCCAGCGTGTAGTTTGACAACTGCACAAGTTCTATTGGCTGCAACCCTTAACTTCTTTTGAGTGTCTACAAACTTATGGTGGTTTACAAGGGGAGACACTAAAGAAAGAATGGAGACATTTCCAGCATGTTGAAGAACTCTGTGGCTTCAGAGACAGCTTTGCATGTGTGGCATAAAACAAGATTTAACTCATGTGCATAGCAATGCACATAAATGCCTCAGGGTGCTTTTGTAAAAAATGGGCTTGTACACCCCCAACATCCCCACTCATGACAGCTGCCCATTGTAGGGTGTGCCCAACCTTTCAACTGATCAGTCTCTTCTTTATCTGCTGATTTTCAATTGCCAGCTGTTATCGAAGTAGCATCAAACTGTGGAACCTCTGTAAGGGCTATAAACCTTTCTTTGACGGCACCCTCAACAGACACGTACCTAACACCAGAGTGCGCAACTGTTCTGTCTTTCCATCCCTGGCCTCATCAGCCATAATGGCATACATATTTGCTCCTTTATTCACTGATGATCTTTCTCTGATATTTTTCTGTGCCATCTTGAAACTTTTGAACCACTGTTCTTTGAAAGACTCTTTTTTGTGAGTATGAGGGTATTGAGACAGCTTTAACTGTTTAGACCTGTGTCCTTATCCCCTAAGTCTGAACAGCTCTCTTCTGTCCCCTGCTGCTTTGGCTTGGTGGTCTCTATGTTGCACTCCCTCTGTCTCTTCATTTCTTTCACTAGTCGATTCCCTCTCATCCCTTATGACTTCTCCCTGTTCTTCTTCCTCCTGCTTTAATATGAAAAAATGTGGTGTAAAATAATATGTTACCAAAAGTAAATGTAATATAGGCTTACTTAATGCCAAGAAGTTAGTATAGGAGTATGAGTAGTTATGTTTTGCTTGACACTATTCACTATATGTCAATTTATTGTTGTTGTTTTCTCACCTGGTTCTTCCTGCATGCTCTCCCTTTCCTTTCTCTCTTCTCCGTCTCCATCTTTCTCTCTTCCTTGCACTGACAATCATACCACAAAATATATTGTAGGCAGGAGAGTTGAGGTCAGTTTGTCATGTCACAAAATGTTATGGAGACCATTTACAGATTCTAAGGATGTGATCAAAAGGCACACAGAGGCGTGTCATTTTAAATATCTTTATTATTATTATTATTATTATTATTATTATTATTATTATTGGGCTTAGAAACACAATCATTTTTTAAATCACAAATTCCTTTCACAAGAGAAGCTGTATTCTCCACTTTTCAGAAGAAAAAAAACAAGACCCTGTCCCTAGTCTCTCACCTGAATCTGTCTTTTTTCTTTTAAAGAACTGTCGTATGTCCATTGCTCACTGGCAGGCCACACACACACACACACACACAAACACAGAGAGAGAGAGAGTAACACACGAGTTATCTTTCACACATCTCATACCTGTGTGTTATAAATAGCCTATATATATATAGACCTGCTGTGTGTGTGTGTGTGTGTGTGTGGTATATACTACTACGCCTGCATGAATGTGATGTGATTATTATTGTTGCAAAGCCTGGTTCAGGTTAAATCCTCTGTAAAACATGAATGAATACAGCAAAAGAAAAAGATTTAACTTTCTTTTATTGTCTAGTTTGATAGTCAGACACAACTGAAAAATAACAGATATAAATGTAGGAATAAATAACAATTCATTTAAAAAGCCAGAGTGAGTGTTTTCATACACACTGCTGGTATACAGTGATATGGCGTTTCGGTATCGGAATCGGAACAACTCTAGGTAAAAGGAAAGAAGTGTGAGACACAGCTTTAGAGCAACTTACTTAGTTGATTCACAACACTACAACTAAATGGATTCTCACTCTGTGTGTGTCACGCTGGACGACGGTCGGGCTGCAGAGCGGTGCAGGTACAGAGGAGAAGGAGCGGGTGAGAAGAGGATGATACCATTTGCTAAGCGGGGATGTTTTCATTTTCGTCCTTAACATATATTAGTGCTAGCTAGCCTCGCCCATGCTGAAAAATATAAATAAAGATAATATGCAGTATATTTTATATTTGAAAGTAGACACAGATAAGATGTATAGTGAAAGAGCAGGGACTACAGCTCTTTAATGATCTAAAGACATTAACGCCCTCTTATGATTTGTGACGGACTTGTAAGCTACAATGCTTGATGATGCTAACACGTAGCTCTTTACTGACCAGTCCGTAGATAATGGGGTTTATGGTTGGTGGAACGATGATGAACAGGATGCTGAAGAACTTCTTGATGTTTGGGGACACTGAGGGGAACCTCTGACTCAAAATTATGACCATTGCAGCTATTTCAGACAACACGTACACAATAAGGTGCGGTGTGCACGTCTGAAAGGCCTTGCTGCGGATGATGCTGTCAGCACTGCCTTGTTTTATGGAAGCAAGCAGGATTCTGAAGTAAGAAAAGGCAGTGATCAGCCAGATAACTGATTTCACGGACCAGGTCATGGCAAGACCTAGAAACACAAAAGATAACACAATTATCCTAAGTATCATGTTAACCTACCAAAATTGTGTATTTTATGATATAAGTCTCAGCAATTAAACATAAACTACTCATTGTTCTATTTGACAATTTACTTTGTCCAGTATCAGTTCAGTTTTATTTGTAAAGCGCCAATTCATAACAAAAGTTATGTCAGGACACTTTGGGGGGGTCCCATGAAGCTTTAATGATCTCTAATGGGGATCCCAACCCCCGGATTGGGAACCACTGCTCTAAACGAATGCACTAACCGTAGATATTATTTATGGTGGTGGGACAGCAGGCCAGGTTCAGTATAGCTCGATTGCTGCAGTAGACGTGTTGGATGACGTTGCCACACAATGGGACGTTCATGTGAAAGGCAAAGAGCACGGAGATACACAGCAGAGCCACGACCCAGGCCAGGGTGCAGCAAGACTGCAGTCGAGCTGAGGTCATGATGGTGTGATACCGGAGTGGTTCGCACACAGCAACATATCTGCAGAGGCAGGTAAAGACATAAAAGGTAAAAGGAGAGACGGTGGATTGCTGTCAGACCTGGGCTAGTTCACTGTGCCACTATTTCCCAGTACCACAAATGTCAGACACACAGTCATTTCCTTCTTCTTCTTCTAAAGTAAAGCAGGGCTCGACAACCTCCAGTGGCTCCCTGTGGCTTTGACAAAAAATATTGTTTTTAACATTTTAATTCATTGTTGTTGTAGGTAAATTTGTTAATTATCAAACGGTAAAAATGTATATCCAACATACATACACCCAAACCTTTACATCCTGATCTGGCACCTTTGCTCCATATTATGCTGAACATACACTGTAAGACTTTCCTCTGTAAATTTACAGTAATTAACTGGCAGCAGCTTCGCCAGCATAAAAATTACCTTTTCCTTTTATACGTTGAGTACATTTCAGAGCCTGTACTTTTACTTACTTTACTTCACTAAAGAATTAGCACTTCTACTTTTATCAGAGTATTTTGTACTTCTAATTGAGCAAAGAATGTGTGTACTTTTGCCAATTGTTTTACATTGTAAGGCCAGTTCTGGCATATGTACTATTTAAGTGTATTTTAGGTTAAAGGTGAATAAATATAAAAAGTTTTATTAAGGATGGGAGACACAACTTAAAAATAAATAAGTTTGAAACTCAAGGTTTTACTAAAGAGGTGTTCTTTATAAGAAATACCTCTCATCCCTGAACACAGACTGAAGACTTGGGAAGAAAGAAAGGGGGTGACAGCAGCATGCAAGGTCTTTCCATAACCCACTGATTATATTTCATAACATTTAAAGACCCAGTAAAATACAGCACCAAAAACATCTATCTTGACATGACAGTGACAGGACAGTAATAGAACCACTTGAATCAGTGTGTTTGTGTTGTGGTGTTTCGATACCTGTCATAGGCCATCGCACCCAGTATAGTCTGCACTGCAACGCCATACGTGTGCACAGAGAAGGCCTGGATGAGGGCCGGGATGTAGGCGATCTTCTTATGCCCCATCAAGAAGTGCATCATGAGGCGAGGCAGCACTGCCGTGGCCCCCAGCAGATCACATGCCACCAGGTTGAAAAGCATTATAAACATGGGTCTGTGCAGGCTCTTGTCTATGACAATGATACACGCCACCACGCCATTCCCCAACAGGATTACCATGAAGTTAAACAGAGCCAGGATAAACAGGGAAGAGCCGTAGCCGGGTGGTATGTGGAAGCCCTCCAGCTCGAACACGATAGGCTGTTGGAGAGGAGCTGCCATTGTTACATTCTCCATCCACAGCAGTGCAGTTCTGTAAAACACAAATATTTAAAAACCGTCCAAACAGGCATCAGTGATCATCATTTGAGATTATAACCACACACTACTATAAACTCCAGTAAAGGGTTGTGAAACACATAAATGTGAACAGAATTACAGTATTCAGCCTGTAACATTTGTCTTTGTAAATCCTAAATCAAAACTACATGCAATAGATCACACAGTGGTACCTACAGTAAAACAGGCAACTGACAATTTAATATTTCACCAAAAGTTCACATAAAAAGAAAATAAAGGTCTAGTGATCACAACTCTGAAAAGGTTCGAGTGAAAAGCCTGAAGTGCCCTCTTCCGTCCTCTTGTCAGAGCTTTGATGATGCTCTGACTTGTCGACAAGAGTGTGTTCACTTTTAATGATTTTACTGTGAGTGTTGGTCAGTGACGCTGATCCCTGCCCACAGCATAGTTATTTGTAACATCTGCTGCCCTCTGCTGCTCGGGTCTCAAGCTGACTGAATGTTTGACTTTAAATAAGTTATTTATTTCAACAAGAGAGAGTTAGACTTTAAACACAATGGTAGCCATACAGAATTGTGCAATCTTTGTTTTCGGAATATCATTTTACCACCTGAGTGATCATATGGTAGTATACGGCAATCTTTATAATAATGATCTGAAGTTATTCTTGCCACCAGTGGCTGAGGAAGAAACACTCGTCACATGCAACCATTTCAGCGAGCAACATCATCACTGTTGGTCGATGTTTCGAGGGGATATTCTTAAAATCTTGCACACTTGCTGCTCTGTCTCTGTTCTCAAATCAGGGTGCTCGAGCTTCAGAATAAAGCCACTTGTTAGACCTACTTGTTTATTCGATAGCTGACAGTGGAAAGATACCAAGAAATAATGGTAGGGGGCTTTGCGGTTCATGGTCGGCGCCTAAACAGTTTCTAACATTGAAGCCGAAGATATAGTTAATGTTTAACTGTTGTGTTAAGGCCTGAGGACGACCAATGGTCCAAACAAATGTAGGATACACAAGGCAGCTATCCTGCTAGGCAAATGCATAGTTAAAAGCAGGTATATCTCCAGCCTTAGGAGGATCTCTTGTCCAAAATGGAATATAATATTCATCCGTATGTTTTCATTAGTGTATAATCACCTGAAGATAAGAATCGTTGAGTTTTTGTTACCTTAGAATGAGACATTTTTATCTACAGAGGGAGCGGATCCTCTTCTGGGAAAGTCCGCCATGTTGAACTGCCATGTTTCTACAGTAGCCCAGAACAGACAAACCAACACTGGATCTAGATAGGGCTTCCACCAGGTGGCACCCTTACCTGGTTCCAAGGGTTTTCACTGAGCTGGGGGAAAAGCTTTCTCTTGCTTTGTACTTGGAATAATCTGAAAAACCTTCTACATCTTATTATATCATTTTTAGCCGGTCCTCACTTCTTCAAAGGTCTGTCTGAAGGTTTAGACTTGGTCTTGAGGTTCGGGGAATGTTTAGGTTTAGGTTTATGCTAAGGGTTGTTGTTGGCATTGATGGTTAAGATTAGGGTAAGGGGCTGCAGAATACATTATGTCAATGAGGATCCTAAGATAGAAACACAAAGATGTCTCTGTGGTTCCTGTGTGATTACTGGGCTGTAATGAGTGTCCCAAAGGCCTGTGAGCTCCCAGGTGTTTCAGTGACCAGCAGGTTAATAGAATTAAAAGCTGCAGTGAGGCGTTCAGTGTGCGGACAGGGAGCTCTCTCTCAAGAGACTCCACCCTGCTCACTGGTCCTCTCTCTTTAAATTCACACTTCTCCCTCTGCTTCCTCTGTCCATCTTATTATCTCAACCTTCTCTGAACCTGTACACGTGTTTGTTCTGGAAAGACTTTTCCCCAGAAACCTGGCTGGCATGGCTCGTCATTCCACTTCATCCCAGAGGTGTTGTATGGTTGTACTGAGGTCAGGCCACGTTCTTCCACACCAAACTCGGAAAAGCATCCTAAATAGAGGGGTTCTTCCCCAAACTTTTGCCACAAGGTTTGACACACACAGTCGTCTAAAATATTTTTACATTTAGTAGCATTACAAGAAAATACTTTGGGCATGGAACTCAAAAACGTCATAGGCCTTGTTGGGTTAGTCCATTCTGGGCTACTGTAAAAACATGGTGGTTCAACATGGCAGTTCAGCATGGTGGATTCTGTAGAGGAACTGCTGTGTCTTTAGTTAAAAAAATCTCATTCTAAGAAAATAAAAACATAAAGCTTCTTGTTTTCAGGGGCATATACACCTAATGATGGGAATCGAGAACCAGTTCCCCCTTTGGCCGATCCATCAGTATTGTATTCCACCAAGCTTATCAACTCCTTTTTTCCTTTCAAGGCCAGCGTGTTTTTCTAGCAGTTGTGCATTGACCACAAACTTGCGTCTACGCTGCTGGAAAGTTGCTACAAGAAGGAGTCATGTCAAAGTACCTGGACAGAAGGACCATTATGTGTTTTATCGAGGAAAAGTCATGGAGTCATTAAAACCAAAAACATGTGTGCGCTCGTTAAGTTTCATGGGGGTCTTTCTGTTAAATCATGATATGTTCAAATGGTAAATAAGGGCACTAGAGGAAAGGTCACGGTTCACCTGGGACCATAAATATCCATCACCAAAGTCTGACCATTAGTAGAATTTTTTGCTGTTGACCAAAACATTGCATGTTGGTAAAACAGCAACCAAAGCTTCATCATACATTGACAGTGACAGTGATGTGGGTCCCTGCAGGTCCCAGAAGGTTTCATTAGCTTCTCTGATCTCTGATAAACATCTATTAGTGGGCCTCTGTCTTTGCTCCCAGAGGACTAATTACTATCAGAAACTGTTGATGAGTGTTTTGTTAGGGAGCTGCTCACAGCGGATCTCATTAATGATTTGTTTCAGAAACATTTACAGAAGTCATTACAGGCTGCTGTGGCAACTGGAACATACAGTGATGAAACTGGTGGACCATCAGGGGGCAGTGTAGTCCCTGAGCTCCCAACATGCAACAGTTGTTACAACTGTTTTTGTTTACTGTTCACAACAACGTTTTCCAATGCAAACATCTGATATTCAAGAGTGTACAGGTAGCCCATTTACCTTATTGTTACTATATATCCCACATTAGACTGGTTTACTGGGGGTCATCAGGCCTTCTTGATTGTAAGGGATTTAAGAAAACATTTTATTTTTAAAGTTTATATTATCATTCAACTTTGAATATCTGAACACAAGCTACACTCTTAAGCCTTCCCTCTCTGCTAAGCCTGTTAAAACAGTAAAGAGCTAATAGAACAATAGGACAAGAAAAGAAAGCACTGAATTTGTTAAAGAGAATTGCATAAAAAGTTTTTTAAAATATCTTTGATCAATTTTCACAGGAAATAATCTGTTTTTTTCCAAATCTCTGGTTTTACACAAACTTCCTGCAGATATTGAGTTCACTGTTTGGGTTCATTGTACAGTTTATCAGCTGTTACTGTTATTCATTGAACATAATATTAAATATCCATGAATTATTATATCACTTAATCAGGGGTTGTCAATATACTCAATGATAGAAAAGGGGTCCCTTAAAGAAAAAGGTTGGGAACCACTGCCAGTGGCAGTCCTTCCTACAGACGACATAGGCGCTTGCCTAGGGCGCCACCGAGTGAGCGGCCAAATATGCGGCGAGAAAAAAATTATAATTAAAATTATAATGTCTATTTATAGCTATTATATAACAGTTTTTGCCATCCCTCTATCTACAACAATACACATTACCAATCCACAACATGCTGCGCACACTTATGCAAGTCGTCGATCGCGTGCGACGGTAAGTCCATGGAAAATGAAACGGTAAAAAGCATCTGGCGCACTTTCGAAAGCGCCAGAAAAAGAAGAGCCAAGAGCAAGAAGGCCGAAAGATTGCATTGTGAATGAAGTGTGATATTAGTGTGAAGTAGAATATTATTAATCTATCACTTGGGGTGAATTTAAACCTTATTTGTTTATGTTGTTATATTATTTGATTAATAGTGTAGGGTTAGGTTTTGTTGCTCAGAATGTTTCACTAACTGTTAAAATATGTTATAAAAGTTTATTTTTTGTATATTATTAGGATGCTAACATTCATTTAAACTACATCATGATATGGATTTAATCCTATGATA